ACACTGTGTGCCTGCTGGAAGGGGCGGTGGGGTCCCATCCTTGCCACGCATATGCCCACAGCTGGGCATAGGGATCCATGCCCTCCTGGGACCTGGCCAGTCTCCCTGGAGGGTGTCTCTGTGATGGGGTTCCCCGTGCCTACAGGGGCCCAAGGTACCCAGCCCTGTGTCCAGTATGCAGAGCCAGTATGGGCACTAGCTGTGGTGCTCCTGACCCCTGCCCATTGGCCACAGAGCCCAAGTTCGTGGACGTTTTTTGGGTACCTGAGAGTGAGAACCCTGATGACGACAAGATCTACTTCTTCTTCCGCGAGACGGCAGTGGAAAGGCAGCAGGGACAGGGCAAGACCAGCTTTGCCCGCATTGGCCAGATCTGCAGGGTGAGAGCGCCCAGGACCCCGCGAGCACGGTGGGGAGCCCGGCCTTGGGGACAGCCTGACACAGTGGCTTGCCAGCACGTGCAGGACTGTGGGTGCCAGCCTGGCACCACTCACTTTGGGTGCCCTCCCTTGCTTTGCAGAATGACGTGGGTGGGCAGCGGAGCCTGGTGAACAAGTGGACAACGTTCCTGAAGGCCCGGCTGGTGTGCTCTGTGCTGGGCACCGATGGCGCGGACACCCACTTTGACGAGCTCCGTGAGTGCCAACCAGGATAGTCTGACCCCCAGCCAGGGCTCGCAGCCCCCAGAACCGAGCCCTGCCAGGGCACAGGGCGGCACAGGGTGTGGCATGCACCTGGGGCTTGCCAGGGTGCCTGCAGGCACCAGGGCAGCCAGCCAGCTCTAGCGCGCAGAGGCAATGCTGACGCTGTCCCCGCCCCTGTGCCTGCTCACAGGTGATGTCTTCCTGCTGCAAACAAGGGACAAGCGCAACCCCCTGGTCTACGCCATCTTCTCCAGCTCCAGGTAGAGCACAGCCCCCCACCTCGCATGCACCGATGGTGCCCACTGGCCAGCCCCCTTTGCCTCTCAAGTCACCATATCTCTCTCTCACCAGCTCCGTTTTCCAGGGCTCGGCTGTCTGTGTCTATACCATGGCTGACATCCGCCGGGCTTTCCTGGGGCCCTTTGCACACAAGGAGGGCCCCAACTACCAGTGGGTGTCGTACCAGGCTCGTGTGCCTTACCCCCGCCCGGGTATGGTACGTGGCACAGGGCGAGAGGGGAGTCAGGGGGTGCCCAGGGGTCCTGCAGGGGGCATTGGGAGCAAGACCCCCTGCTCACCTGGCGCTGTCTCCCCGCAGTGCCCCAGCAAAACCTTTGGCACCTTCAGCTCCACCAAGGACTTCCCGGATGAAGTGATCCAGTTTGCCCGGCACCACCCGCTCATGTACAACCCAGTGCTACCTCATGGCCACCGCCCTCTCTTCCTCCAGGCCAACGCACCCCACACCTTCACCCGCATTGCTGTGGACCGCGTCACGGCTGCTGATGGCCACTACGATGTCCTCTTCATTGGCACAGGCACGTGGTGCCTCCTTGGCCAGAGGCTGAGGGTTTGGGGCTGCCCTGACCATGGGGGCTGTGCCCCCTGGGATCTCTGGCCTCACCCCGTTCCTCCCCGCAGATGTGGGCACGGTGCTGAAGGTGGTCTCGGTGCCCAAGGAGAGCTGGGACAACATGGAGGAACTGCTACTGGAGGAGCTGCAGGTCTTCCAGGTGAGGGGGACAGCCTGTGGCTGCCCCGGCCCCTGCCCCGGCTCTGCATCCCCCAGTGCCCCCAGGGGCCCCCCACGTATCAGGTGTGCTGCCCTCACTCTGTGCCAGGCAGCTGTGGGGGGACACAGGGCTGTGCTAGGCCAGCTGCATCCCCACTCCGGTGTGGATGCTGCCTGGGTGCTCCAGCTGCTGTGCCGTAAGAGCTGGGAGCCCGGACACTTGGATTCTCTCTGCACATTCTCCCTGACGTGCCCCTGGGCATGACCGTGCCCCACGCTGACTGCAGCTCTCCTTGACCCGTGCCCTTGCTCTCTTGGCAGGACTCGTCCCCCATCACCAGCCTGCAGATCTCCTCAAAGCGGGTAAGGGGGAGCGAGTGAGCGGGACTCCATGACCAATGGCTCCCCAAGGCATGTCCCTGTGTCCTGCCGTGGCTGTGCCCAAGCCATTGCCCTTTCGTGGGGATGCTCAGTCCCCCTTTCTCCTTGCAGCAACAGCTCTATGCTGGCTCGGCCACGGCTGTGGCCCAGCTGTCCCTGCACCGCTGCAGCATTTACGGCAAAGCCTGCGCAGAGTGCTGCCTGGCCCGGGACCCCTACTGCGCCTGGGACGGCAACTCCTGCACTCGCTATGTGCCCAACACCAAAAGGTAGGCAGTGTACCAGGGACGAGCCTGCCCCTCTTGCTCTTGGGCAGCTGGCGACATGCCCAGGTGCCCTGGTGAGGAGCACCCACACCTGCTGCTGCCCATCCCTCACTCTGCCCATCTCCCACAGGCGTTTCCGCCGGCAGGACGTCCGCAATGGTGACCCCAACGTTCTCTGCTCCGAAGGTGAGCTGGAGCCTTGCCAAAAAGCGGCCAGCCCCACCACCCCTGCCCAGGCACAGTGATGGGAGGCTTGTGCTTGATGCTGACTGCCAGGCTGTGTCCCTGCAGATCCCCAGCTTGGCAGCGTGCCCCAGAAGAAGCTGTATGGGGTGGAGGGCAGCAGTGCCTTCCTGGAGTGTGTGCCCAAGTCACTGCGAGCCCGAGTGCTCTGGACCTACCAGCGCACCAAAGATGCCCCCAAGCGAGAGGTAGGTCTGCCCCAGCATGAGCCTGCTGGCATGGCCAGCCCCAAGGGCCTGACTGCGCTGTGTTGTCCCACTCCCTGATGCCCCATGTGCCTGTCGGTGCCCGCAGGTGCAGCTGGATGATCGGGTGGTGCGGACGGAGCGGGGCATCCTGCTCCGCAGCGTGCAGCGCACTGACTCTGGGCTCTACCTCTGCCATGCCACCGAGCATGGCTTCACCCAGCCCCTGCTGCAGCTCTTGCTGGAGGTGATCAGCGCCCGGCAGGTCACAGGGCTGGCGCCCG